TTCAGCAAGTTCTTGAAGAAAGTAATGCTTCAGAAATAGTTATTGAGACCAAGTGCAGTGGCTCATGCCTGTAATCCCAACACTTTGGTAGACCAAGGAGGGAGAATCACTTGAGGCCAGCAGTTTGAGACCAGCTTGGACAACATGGCAAGACCCTCATCTCTAAAAATAAAAAATTTAAAATTTAAAAATTTAAAAAAAAAAGGAGAAGAAAGAAATGGTGACTAAAATTCTACTAAACAAGTGCAGACCATCCCCTCTGTGGATGAAAAGCCAACCAAAATTTAGTCTCTGTATATGGGAAGAAGGAAATAGGAAGCAGTTGTCAAAATAATACCCACACTAAGTAACTGAATCAAATGGGATGATATAAGAATCAAACCTGACCCAGTAGGTTCTAAGAAAGCAAATGGCTGGGCCGGGCGTGGTGGCTCACGCCTGTAATCCCAGCACTTTGGGAGGCCGAGACGGGCGGATCACGAGGTCAGGAGATCGAGACTTCCTGGCTAACACGGTGAAACCCCGTCTCTACTAAAAATAAAAAAATTAGCCGGGCGTGGTGGCAGGCGCCTGTAGTCCCAACTACTTGGGAGGCTGAGGCAGGAGAATGGCGTGAACCCGGGAGGTGGAGCTTGCAGTGAGCCGAAATCGCGCCACTGCACTCCAGCCTGGGCGACAGAGCGAGACTCCGTTTCAAAGAAAAAAAAAAAAAAGAAAGCAAATGGCTGGCCAGGCATGGTGGTTCACGCCTGTAATCCCAGCACTTTGGGAGGCTGAGGCGGCCAAATCACAAGGTCAGGAGTTCAAGACCAGCCTGAGCAACATGGTGAAACCCCATCTCTACTAAAAATACAAAAAATTAGCTGGGCATAATGGCAGGCGCCTGTAATTCCAGCTACTTGGGAGGCTGAGGCAGGAGAATCACTTGAACCTTGGAGGTGGAGGTTGCAGTGAGCCGAGATCACACCACTGCCCTCCAGCCTGGGCAACAGAGTGACACTCCATCTCAAAAAAAAAGGAAAGAAAAAAAGAAAGAAAGCAAATGGTTAAAGTATTCAATTTTTATATAGCTGAAACTATGAGCCCCAAATCCTTGGAATCTGGGCGGTTCCTTCCGAGCAAGTTAGCTGTTGGAAGTCCTAAAGTAATTATTTTACTATGCATTGGAAAATCATGAGTTAACCTATAGGCAAAAGTGAAGTGACAGAAACATTTAGGGATAAGGAAAGCAAGTTTTAATTTTTTTAATCTTGACTAAGTTGTACCATTCAAATCATTCTTGTCAGAAAAATGCGAAGTATTTCTCATAAATATTTTAGTTATTAACTCATTCTTATGCATAGAACATTTTAAAATAAGCCATCGTTTTATTGACCATTGACTGATATAGACAGGATACAACTTAGTTAAGTTGAGCAAGATACTGTATTTTTAAATTTTTATTTTCTCATATGTGAATTACCGATTTTATCTCTTAGGTACTCTAACCATTGCTGCTCCCTTGATAATATATTTACTGTGTGCACTGAGAAAGTATTCAAATTTTAATATTGGCTTCAATTACACTTTGTTAGACAAATCTCTATGGAGAAATAATCATGTAATCAATGCTTTTTGGCGATTGTTGTGCATATCAACATTACCTTGCTGCTGTTTTTTAAAAATCAGAACAACTCACTTGCCCAGGTAGATAAATTTCCTTCACATTTTGAATTATTTCTTATGCTAACTGGGCATTTAGGGGGTCAAAGAAGATGGTTCCAAAATAGGTGGGAAAAAATCATTTTTTAGCATATTAAAATATTAATATCATCAGCTTATTTTCTACAAAACAAAATAATAAGAACGAAAATAGAAGGCATTCCAAAACCCCCCAAAAAAAGCCAGTAGCTTGCAAATCACATAGCCTGTGGTATTATCTGCATTGCTTTGGATACTGAGTGATGACTGTATTTGCTTTAAATTTATAAATTATTGCCATTGATTTCTACTGTTTAAAGTTGTTGCTTTCTTGTAGGGAAGCTCTCATGGTACTTTTCTGCTAGTAATGATTGCTTTGGAGGTTAATCTCAATCTTATTTTATATTTGCAAAAGTGTACATAGTATAAAACAATTGAAGTCAAAGTATATGTGAATAGGCTTTTTTTTTTTTTTTTTTTTTGAGACAGAGTTTTTCTCTTGTTGCCCAAGCTGGAGTCCAGTGGCACTATCTCGGCTCACTGCAACCTCTCCCTCCTGAGTTCAAGAGATTCTCCTGTCTCAGCCTCCTGAGTAGCTGGGATTACAGGTACGCACCACCATGCCCAGCTAATTTTTTGTATTTTTAGTAGAGACAGGGTTTCACCATGTTGGCCGGGCTGGTCTCGAACTCCAGACCTCAGGTGATCTGCCCACCTCAGCCTCCCAAAGTGCTGGGATTACAGGAGTAAGCCACCACGCCCGGCTGTGAATAGGCCATTTTTAAAAATTAATCAGAAGAGGTGCGGTGGTTCACGCCTGTAATCCCAGCACTTTGGGAGGCCAAAGTGGGTGGATCATCTGAGGTCAGGAGTTCGAGACCAGCCTGAGCAACATGGTGAAACTTGATCTCTACTAACAATATAAAAAATTAGCCGGATGTGGTGGCAGGTGCCTGTAATCCCAGCTACTTGGGAGACTGAGGAATGAGAATTGCCTGAACCCAGGAGGCAGAGGTTGCAGTGAGCTGAGATGGCGCCATTGCACTCCATCCAGCCTGGGCAACAGAGCGAGACTCTGTCTCAAAAATAAATAAATAAATAAATAAATAAATAAATAAATATTAATCAGAAGAAATGGAAGTAGTAATGAGAAAAGATACAAAGTTAATTTTAGAAAGCACTATTTGTGCAGAGTGACTGAAAACGTTACAGATCAAGCTTTGCAATATGCAGGGACTCAAAAGCAATTTCTGAATTGAATTATTTATTTGAATCAGTCTTTTGTATTGTTCCTATATATTATGAAATCTCTGCTTTGGCACCAACAGACATGTATTCAGACTGCACTATTGTGGTGCTTGAAAAATGTGACTAAAGAATGTACATTCAAAATCGTGCCCTTTTCTCTGGTTGTCGTGTGATTCATCTGTAGAAACCCCCTGCAGCACTGAGTCAGACATCATCAGAGTCAAGTGCACTCAGAGGTCTAAGAGGCCGTCCCAACTGGATAGTTTTTTGATTCTTGGGAGTTTTTTGGCTTCTGCTTAAAAGTCTGCTGTGGACCTAAGTTTTCCTTCAAGAAATCATATTGAGTGCTGAGAGTACCTAGGCCAAGTTGTATGTCACCCCAGACTAGAATAGTGATAGATGTATAATTATCTAGTATGTATATTTATTTATTTATTTTTAAGACAGAGTCTCACTCTGTCACCCAGGCTGGAGTTCAGTGGTGCGATCTCAGCTCACGGCAACATCCGCCTCCCGGATTCAAGTGATCCTCCTGCCTCAGCCTCCCAAGTAGCTGGGATTATAGGTTCCTGCCACCACATCCGGCTAATTTTTGTATTTTTAGTAGAGATGGGGTTTCACCCTGTTGGCCAGGCTGGTCTTGAACTCCTGACCTCAAGTAATCCACCCACCTCCGCCTCCCAAAGTGCTGGGATTATAGGCGTGAGCCGATTATCTGGTATGTATTTTTAAATATATCTTCCTCATGTAGCTAAAAAGATGAACCTTATACATCCTTCACAATGACAACTTTAGCTTCCTAAATTGTGACATAGTGAATGAGTTGTAAGCAGGTTGGGCCAGTGTCCTTTGGAGCAGGAGAAGGCAATGTGGGGCATAGTAGGAGCCCAGTGTTTGAATCATGGGACTAGATTTTAGTCTTGCCCCTGCCTGGCTGTGACATGAGCAAGTTAATAAACCTCTTAGAGTCTCAGGTTTGCTCACCTGTTAAATGCAAATGTTGAAGATAATATCTCTGTCATGGAGTTCTAAGTTACAAATTAGATAAAGTGTATAAAGAAGGTACCCTATAAATCTAGAAAATTCTATACTTGTTTTTCTTATTATTCTTATGCTGTTCCTATTCTTTGTCCTAGAAGTGGATAACATTCACACACATACACATTATATACCTTTAAGAATGTGTTATTGAAACAGTCTGTGTTTTTAATGATGATTTGCCTTACTAATAACAAATCAGTTTACTTTTAAAAATTGAGTTAACTCCAAATTGAAAGATAAAGCATATAACACATGTTAACAGCAAGGATTGGAATTAGCCTGTACTATCACAGCAGACATATTTAGTGCTCAGAGTAGTCCCTTATACATTCCATTAAGGAATTCCCACTGATTTAGGAGATATAAATATATGTGGGAATGCATATGGAAAAAATTGAAACTGCTGAGTATCAAAATTCACTGCTTGATTGGAAGTAGAGTGATAACTTCATTTTTCCTGGTAGTCTGGTTGCCATATCCTATCAAGTAGAAAGATTATCACCTGCACTCTTTACCCCTTCTCCAAATGCATTCTTGAAAAACAGCCTCTGTCCCGCTTCCTCCATCAAATTATAGATGTGGAAGACATTGCCCAACCCTTGAAGAGTTTATACTATAATAGACACTTAAAACAGATAGAAAGAGAACTCTGCAATGGAATATTGATCCAGGGAAGTGCTAGAGAGGAATGTCAGATGGTTGCAGGCGACCAGGCATCCTTCCCTAAGCTTCTGTGACCATTTCAAAGCCTTTTTACAGCACCTACACGTCATGCCTTCCATTGGTGACATTTTCACCCGTGTGTGATCTGTCTCTCTATATTATAAACTCCTCGAAGATAGAGAAGTCACCTTGTATTTATTTCTTGGTCCCTCTCTATACACCACACCTTTCATCCAAGCCTCAAACAGTATTAGTGGTTCAAATAGAGTTTTGTACCTAACATACAGATTTAGTAAAAAAAAAAAAAAAAAAAAATCGTAAGATGTGTTTATGCTCTAACTTTCTTTTTCTTTCTTCTGTCTTCGCAGTTGACCTGCCTCTGTTTTTCCCTCGAGACCAGCCAACTCTCACATTTCAGTCCGTCTATCACTTCACCAACAGCGGACAGCTTTACTCCCAGGCCCAAAAAAATTACCCGTACAGCCCCAGATGGGATGGAAATGAAATGGCCAAAAGAGCAAAGTAAGTGAATCTGTCGTTATTTCCTACAGATAAGAGCATTTTGTTTATCTAGTCCAGGGGTTGGCAAGCCACTGCCTGCAGGCTAGATCCTGCCTGTGCATATTTTTGTAAATAAAGTTTTATAGAAACACAGCAACACCCATTTCTTTACTTATTATCTATGGCTGTTTTAATGCTACAATGGCAGAGTGAGTAGTTGCAACAGAGACTGGATGTCCTAGAAAACCAAAAATATTTACTGTTTGGCCCTTCGTAGCTTCATCAGGAAGAAGCTGATCTACATCTGAAAGTGTTTCCTTTTTCTGCTGTTTCTGTTGGTCTCTAAAATTAGCCATGACAGCTTTTTTTTTTTTTTTTTTTTTTTTTCATGGAGTGTAGCATTTATCAGAAAACGACCTCTCTATTTAGACTGGAGGATAAATACTAAACAGGAATTCGAGTTGTGGGTAAATGGCATCAATGATGAAAATGTTCACAGCTACTTTTTAAAAAATGGAAATTTCAGATGGCAGTAAACAAACGGAATTTTTGCTTAGTAGTCAACACCTGGAACCAGTAGCTACTCTTTGGTATGAAAATGAATCTCCCTGAATTCTATACCTCGTTGTGTCTCTGCAGTGTATACCACAGCCGTTGCCCAAAGTAGGACCTGTGTATTTCTTGGTCAAATAAACAGCTACACAAATAGTTTAGGGCTATTAGAATAGATATGGAAGTAGGATTTCATAGAGGTTGAAGTTAGCTAAAGTTTAGAGTTTAGAGATACAACTATTGCTCATGAACCTCTCAGTGTGGAAGGCCTCACTTCAGTCATATAGAATAGGTAAATACAGAAATATGCTGATTGTTTTTTATATTTAAGACTTTGATGTGTGGAACATCAGTCTTCATAAACCGTGGCCTCCTAGACTGAAGAAGCAGTGGATCAAAATCACAGTTTCCAAAAATAAAGCATAGAGTGGCATGTGGTTATAACTTTATCGCTTGGAACAGTCATATGCTTCACACCTGTGATCCCAGCTGAAGGATGATCAGATCCAAAGTATCACACAAATATAGACTGTCTATTAAGCATCCTCTTCATTTGCTCATCCAGTATTTATTAAGCATCTACCATGTTACAAGCATTGTGCTCCATGCTAGGAATATAATGATAAACAAATTAGAAATTGTCCCTGTCTTCATGGAATTTGTAGCCCAGCAAGGGGGATAAAGCCTTTATCATACAAACTTCTGACAGTTTCAAAGTACCTACTAACAAAACCTGGACCTCCAGATCTGGAATGCTCTTGGTTAGCCATGACTAATCAAGAACTTAGTAGGACTTCTTGTTCTTGCCTCCCCCTCCCAGAGAGACCCCATTCCCTTCCATGGGGCCTCCTGACCTCACCTATATTTTTCTGTAGTACAAGACTTTCACTTATAGCAGGCTTGAGAACTTTTCATTTTATTTTATTTATTTTTTTTTTTTGAGACAGAATCTTGCTCTGTTGCCCAGGCTGGAGCACTAGCTGAGGAGTCTCGGCTCACTGCAACCTCTGCTTCCCAGGTTCAAGCAGTTCTCCTGCCTCAGCCTCCTGAGTAGCTGGGACTACAGGCACGTGACACCACGCCCGACTAATTTTTGTATTTTTAGTGGAGATGGGGTTTTGCTATGTTGGCCAGGCTGGTCTTGAACTCCTGACCTCAGGTGATCTGCCCGCCTCAGCCTCCCAAAGTGCTAGGATTACAGGTGTGAGCCACCACGCCTAGCCTGAGACTCTTAAATAATGACAGTGTCTTCTTCTAGAAACCCAGACTGCCTCAGATTTATACGCAGAATCCAGAGTTGTTATCTGAAACTTTAATTGCCTTCTTCTTTCCCTTTATTTTCTCTTTTTATCTATGACACCCAAGTCTGAAATCCCATTAAGGACAAAAACAAGCATATGCAAATGTAACAAGTAACAATGATTAAGACTTACATATCTTGAAATACAATGGAAAAAAGGAATTATAAAGTATGTTTTATGCTTAAGTATTGGTATCGTTTAATTTTCTGGGCTTTCCCTGTGTATACGTAGGATCTGCCCTTAGAAGATGGGCACTATCTGTGGTATGTGCTGTGGAGTCTGAACCAGATGTGTCTTTGTGGTTTCCATGGCAAAGATATCTTAGTATGTGTGTATGTGTGTGTGTGTGTGTGCATGTGTTTTTCCTAAGTAGACATTTTAGCAAGTATGAATTGAGTCTTTAAGAAGTTGCAGACCACAAGCCCATGATTTCAGTACAGGAATATCGTAAGTGAAGCCTGTTTATCTTAACAGATTGGTTCAGAGTTTCAAGAGACATTTGCTTTATGTTAACACCAGTCTAAAGAAAACATCTGAAGTAATGTTTAAAAAATCTGCTTTCTACTGTAGCGAAGATGGATCCATTTTAAATGTAATAAAAGAGAAAGCCAGCAGCTCGTGCTAGCAAGAAGAAATAGTTTAAAGTTTCCATTCTTCAACTGAACTGAGTAACTTCCCTGGGCTATGTCAGAAAGCCAGATAAACACCATGAAAGAACTGTCCTGCAGTATAGTCTTGAGATTGGTGGAGAAGGTTGAAGACAAAGGGTGGAAAGAGAGGAGGGTCAACTGTAGCATTCCTTCCACACCCTGTTTCTTTGTCCTGTGAAAATACTGTATGTACACAGTGTGTAAAAGGCTATAATTCACTTGGGGAGCTCTGCCCATGACATAAACACTCTCATGGTTTATGAACAGCAGTGGAGCCTTTTGAGTGGAATCAGCTGTTTATTCCCTCCTGTAGAGCAAAATTCTAAACAATGTAACCTCAGAAAGGACACTTCCTGGCACTGACCAGGGCTTTTCCTACCACATGTGCTTCTTTCTTTCTCATGGCTGTCCAGCAGATTCTGTCCCTCACAAGTGAAACACCATTTACAGGGTGAGCACAGGCTTTGGGGTCATGCATGCCCCAGTTGCTATTGCAAAGTCTAATCCTGCAAGCTCTGTGGTCTTGGGCAGAGCTCTTAACCTCTCTGAACCTCATTCCTAAAACAGGACTGTACTCCCTGTTGGATGAACTTGCTATGAAAGGCCAGCAAGTTAACACGTGGAAGACCATGGGTTTTAGCTTCTGCTGTGTAACTCAGTGCCTTTGCTCATGCCTTTCCTCCCACCCTCTATCTGCCCCCTCAAATAGACACATATCCAACCTCCCATGTGGGTTTTCCCATCCTCTCTACTTTGCCGGCAGCTCTCTCCCCTCCTCCCAGTCTCCTTGACTCTAATCACGTACTGCTTTGGAATCTGTTTGGTATTTTATTTTAGTTCTGCACATCTTCATATATGTTTTGTTTCCTTAACCAAACCATGAGTACTTTGAAGGAAATGGCTTTGCATGTGTATCTTTTTTAAAAATTGCAGTATAATTTACATACAATGGAATGGACAGGTTTTAAGCATATCTTTTGAAAAGTTTTGACAAAGTTACCTTATAACCTCTTTCCAAATAGTCTCTTCACTGTCAAGGCAACTATTGTTCTGTATCACCATGTCTTAGTTTTTCCTTTTAGATACTTCTAAGTGAAATAATACAGATCAATGAAATTTATATTCATTTCATTCAACATAATTGTTTAAGATTTATCTGTTATGGTGGCTGGGCCCGGTAGCTCACGTCTCTAATCCCAGCACTTTGAGTGGACTGAAGCAGACAGATCACCTGAGGTAGGAAGTTTGAGAACAATCTGGCCAACATGGCAAAACCCCATCTCTACTAAAAATACAAAAATTAGCTGGGCATAGTTTCACATGCCTATAATCCCAGCTATTCCGGAGGCTGAAGCAGGAGAATCTGTTGAACCCAGGAGGCGGAGGTTGCGGTGAGCCAAGATCGCGCCACTGCACTCCAACCTGGGTGACTGAGTGAGACCCTGTCTCAAAAAAAAAAAAAATATATATATATATATATCTGTTACAGCATTTCTTTTTTACTGCTGAGTAATAGTCCATTATATGAATATAGCCTAATGTATTCATCCATTCACCCATGTGTAGATATTTGTGTTGTTTCCAGGTTGGGGATTTTATTAATAGAGCTGCTATGACCAAGCCTTTTTATAGACATGTGTTTTCCTTTCTTCAGGTAAATACCTGGGAGTGGGAGTACATATGTGATTAACTTTATAAGAAGGTGACAAGCTTTTTTAAAGTGGTATCAGTTTACCCTCCCATCAGCAATATGCCAGGGTTTCAGTTGCTTCACATTCTCATCAACACTTCCTATTGTCAGTCTTTTTAAATTGAACCATTCTAGAGAGGATAAGTAATATCTCATATTTTTAATTTACATTTCCTGGTGATAAATGATGTTCAGCATCTTGGCATGTGCTTATTGGTTTATCTTCTCTCATGAAATGTCTGTTCAAATTTTGCCTATTTTTAATTTGGTTGTTAGTCATTTTATTAATGAGTTGTATATACGAGTTTCTTTATATATTTGTCAGATATATTTATTATGAGTATCGTCTCTCAATCTGTGGCTTGCCATTTCATTTTATTTTTCTTTTTTTTAATAGAGACAAGGTTTCACTATGTCGCCCAGGCTGGTCTTGAACCCCCGGGCTCAAGTGATCCTTGATCCTCCCACCACGGCCTCCCAAAGTCTTGGGATTACAGGTGTGAGCCACTATTCCTGGCCCATTTCATTTTCTTAAGAGTGTCTTTTGATGAGCAGGAAATCTTCATCTTTTTAATGAAATCTGTTTTTTATGTTAATGCTCTTTGTGTACTCAAAATTATTAGCCTACTAGAAGATCATGAAGAAATTCTCCTGTGTTTTCTTCTGGAAGCTTTTGTTTTGGCACATAGGCCTGTGATCCATCTCAGATTAATTTTTGTATGTGATATGAGGTAGATGCCAAGGTTAATTTTTTGTTCATATGTATCCAGATATTACAACACCATTTGTTGAAAATACTTTTCTTTCCCTATTGAATTACCTTTACAT